GACTTCCGGGAGGCGGCGGGGGTGGGGTGCGGAGTGGGGAGGACACTGAGCCGGTGGCTCCGGCCTCCTCCTCTTCCTCCTTCTCGTCTTCCTCCTCCCTCTACTTCAATTATTCATTACCCTTGGCGCCGCCCTCACCCCTCCTCCTCCCGCCGGGCCTGTGGCGGGATGGGGAGCACCCCCCTCCCCGGGAAGGGAGATGGGGACAGGGGAGAGCATCCCAGGTCACCCTCTCCTTCCTTCCTCGGAGGTGGGGCGCCCCAGCCACATGCTCTCTGCTCTCACCCCTCACCCTGCTCCACCTCCTTCCTTTCTCTTTTCTGCACCGCGCCCCTCTCCATCCGCTCCTTTTTCATTTATCTCCTGTGTTTACCTCCGGGGGCCTGGGTCTGAGGAGCGTGGGGGTCCAGGAACTTGGAAGGGGCGGCTTAGGCGGGCACCTCAGTAGCTCTTTAGCAATCATCCCGTGCTAACAGGCCACTTCCTAGTCTCCAGTGTTCACATATTGTTCCACTCCCTTCTTTTATCTGGAGAGGTCCCTTTTGTTATTGTCTTTTGAAGCTGAGAAAACTGCAGCTCTGAGAGTTGCTGTCTCTTCCCTTCTCTCCGCGTTCCCTCCTCAGGAACAGCCTTCATCTGGCCGCAGCCCTCTAGCGAGGGGCAGGGAAGGGATGGGAGGGAACACCAGGTGGAGGAAAGAGCTAGTACAAAGGCCTGAGACTGGAGGACATGTTTTCAAGGAAGTCTGGGTCACAGATCTAGGGAGGTGGAAAGCTGAGAAAGTTGGAGCTGGAGCGTTCTGAGGGGTGAGATCCTACAGGGCCAGAAGATATGCGTTATCCAAGAAGCAACGGGGAACCACTGCGGAATGTGAGGGGGGGGGGGTAATGTGATCAAGTCAGGATTTTGAAAGAAGACCCTGCAGCCAGAGGAGAGAAGTGCTCACAGCGAAGCAGCCTGGGAATGGAGAGACCAGATGGAAAACATAAGAGTGATCCGGGAGAGGGGGCAGGATCCTTCAGACATCCTGGATGCCCCCAAGTCCCCACTCCCTTTGCTCAGAGTGAATATACCAGGGTTTATTATGCAAACACTCATATACAGCAGTCTCTCTTTGCTCAGGACTGTTCTAAGCACTGTACAATTACGAACTCATCCTCACAATTTGTGAGGTAATTTGCATTTTCCCTTCCCATTTTACAGATGAAGAAACTGAATCAGAGAAGTTAATTCATTTGCTTGGGGTTACACAGCTGGAGCTAAATTCAAACCCATAGTCTGGCTCCAGAATTAGTTTTTCTATCTTCCAAGGGGAGAGGCGAGTTAAGTGAGAAGGGGAGGAAAGAAGAGGGGAGGAGAGGAAGTGTGAGGACTGCCCTGCTTCAGAGTGGCAGGAAAGGGGAGAAGGAGGGAGACAGCTGCCCTGGTCAGGAAGGAGCAGCCATCTGCAGTCCTGTAGCCCAGCATCCCTTTAGTGTCCAGGGACTGATTCGGTCCTGGCAATGTTCAGGAGGGTGAAGTGCCAGCTGTTGCCCAGAGCTGAAAATGGAGGAGGAAAAATTAGGGATTAAGGGAGTTCCCCAGGCTGGATTCATAGCTGACAGTCCCTATCCAAGGACATGTGTAGACTAGTGGGAGTGTTTGTGCGTTGGGCTAAAGGGGAGTCTGCATCCCAATGTGACTTGGGCAGGAACAATATCTCTTTTTTCTTTCTCTCCTACAACCCTAGGCAGGAAGACTCATGAGTGCACAGCGCTCTGGGTAGAGGGAAGGTCTGACTCTAGACTGCGTTATGGCCCTGGACCAGTTCTGCATGTGTCTGGATCTCTGCCCTTCACAGGTCCTGGAGAGGGCCTGACAGAATTAGGTTCTCCCCTCTGCCCCACCCCCACCCCAAGGAGGGAGCCCCTCTACCTCCCGTGTCTCTCTACATCCCAGGATCAGCCCATTCAAACAGGCAGTCCAAGACACACTTTTATGTCTGAGATTCTGGAGCCAGGAAACCTAGGTTCACAACCTACTCTCCCCTTCCTGGCTCCATGACCTTAGGAAAGCCACTCAATTTCACTTAGTTTAGAAAAAAAAAGTAAAATGAAGGGCTAGTGCCTTCCTCCTAAGGCTGTGGTGAGGATAAATATTAATTATTACCTGGGTGATGTCTCCCACAGGAAGCCCTCCTGGATCTCCCACCCAGCTGTACCCTGCTCTCTATCCCTCAGAGAAGACTCCCTGACACACCCTGTTACGAGCTTCCATCACACGTTAGTCTTCCTTCTCAGCATCAGTACACTGGCAATTTATTTTAGTTATGTTTGGAACTGCCTCAGAGCTCCATGAGAGTTGAGACAATTCATCTTTTTTCTTTTTCAAAAAAGGTTTTTTTACTCACAGAGGGGAGGAGGTTCATTCCTTCTTGACCATCAGGGCATTACTCAGCTCCTTTCTCATCTTCTTGGTGCAGAGATGTGTCTCCACCCTTTTCTGGCATGCCGCTCATACTGGGCAAAGCTGCACACCTCTCCAGTCATGTCCTGCACAAAGTTGGGGTGCTTGGTGAGGTGGTGCCTGCTGCTGCAGTGGTGGCAGTGGCAGTGGCTGTGACTCGGCTTGCTCACATTCTTGTTCACCTTGAGGCCCTTGTTGAGGCCCATGGCCATGGGGTAGTACAGATCCATGGCTGCTGCTTTCAATGGCTGCTGCATGAGAAGGATTCATCTATTTTCTTCACCAACAATTCTCTGAGCGCTGAGTGCTATGCCTGGCACCCAACAGATATTCTATAAAAATCATTGATTGAATGAATGATGAATAAATGAATGATGATCAACCTTATGAAATAGGTTCTGCCCTAGCAGGTTTGGCTCAGTGGATAGAGCCTTGGCCTGTGGACTGAAGGGTCCTGGGTTCAATTCCAGTCAAGGGCACATGCCCGGGTTGCAGGCTAGATTCACAGTGTAGGGCATGCAGGAGGCAGCAGATCAATGATTTTCCCTCACATTGATGTTTCTATCTTTTTCTCCCTCTCTCTTCCTCTCTGAAATAAAAAAAAATTTTTTTGAAAAAAGAAATAGGTTCTATTATTGTCCCCATTTCTTTAAGAAAAAAATCTTTATTGTTGAAAGTATTACATATGTCCCTCCCTTTTTTTCTTAAATTTTTTTAAAATTGAATTTTAGAGAGGGAGGGGGGAGAGAGAGAGAGAGGGGGAGAGAAAGAGAGAGAGAGAGAGAGAGAGATCCACCAGTTGCCCCCTACACATCCCCCACTGGGGATTGGGCCCCGTCCAGGCATGTGCCCTGACCAAGAATCAAACAGGACCTCCCAGTGCATGGGACGATGCCCAACCAACTGAGCCAGGTTTCTCCCTATTTTATAAGCAAGGTAACTGCCTCAGACAAGGGCAGAGACTTACAGAATTAACAATCCCGTCTGTGTGCCAGGAGCTGCACTAAGAACTTTATTGTTATGACCACATGTTATCCTCAAACCAGTCACTCTTTTGGGTGAAGCAACTGTGACTCAGGAAGGTGTTGTCACTTACCTGAGGCCATTAGTTAGGAAATAGCGGAGCAGGCATTCAAGAACTCTAATCCAGGCAAGTGGGGACACAGAGGAAGGATTTGATGGGGTGTGGGAGCGACCCACTATCAGGGGACTCTGCCCTGAGCATCTGGACTGGTGTGTTCTCAGTGGCTGAGACCAGAGATCAGGGATTCAGATTAGGACCAATAAGGAAGTACAGGAGTGGGGTCCCAGTGGTGGGGCGGGATGGTGGGGTGGTAGGGGAAAGAACAGCTTCGGCAAAGGCTCTGCAATGGGGCTCAGGCCAGGCTCGTTCAAGTGCTAAAAGGAGGCTTGGTCGGGCTGGTGTGGAGGGAGAAGGTGGACCACAGCTTGTCAAAACTAGACAGGCCCTTTGAGATCTCATCCAGCTCCCCAAGTTCCTCTCTCATTTTATAGATGGGGACACGGAGGCCCAGAGAGAAGTCCCATATCTACCAAGTGGCAGAAGCAAATCTGAGAGCCTTTCCTTGGTCGCCAGGTATATGGTCTCTGGGCTTCATTGGGAATCATTCTCGGGAACTGCCTTCGTCACATTTTCTCAATTAATAGAGAGCTCAGTCCATGCCTACTGCACCCTCAGCTTGGACCAGTTTCTAGGGATATTCCTTTAGTTCCTGTGCAAACCATGCCCAAGATAATCGACACAGCATTGTTTATAGCAGCAAATATTGGTACTGACCCAAATAGCCCTCAGTAAGAGGCTGGCTAAATAAGTCATGGACTTCCTGACAACGGAATAGCATGCGGCAGTAAAGGAGGCGACGAAGCTCTCTGTCTCCTAATACAGAGGCCTCCCTGGGGGAAAGCAAGGGAGAGACTAGAAGACAAAGTGAAAGGGGGCAGCAATAGAATTTGGGGAACCAGCTAGGATTGTAAGAAATATTAATCATGCTCTGTTAACCGTGATTGTTTTATTCTGGTTAAAGAAGGCACATTCCACCCTGGCTGCTGCAGACCTGGAGATGCAGCCCTTCCTCCCCTTTTGGAGCTGCCTTGATCATGAAAAGATGAACAAAGATTTGTTACAGAAACCAGAATCGCCAGCCCTTTGAAGAGCCCCAGCCCTTTTGCACACCTGCAGGCCTTTGCAGACCTCCAGCCTGCTAACCTGTTAACTGCCCATCTGGCACCCCCTTTGGCTATTTCCCCCATGTAACTCCAGCCCTTGCACATCACTAAGCCCTTTGAAGACCCCCAGTTCTCTTGCATATCTGCAAACTGCCCTTTTGCCGACTTTTCCTTTGTACTTTTACTACATAAGCAGCTGGCTTATGGTGGGGTGCAGAGCAGATTTCTGGGGCTGACCTGCTGCTCTCCCATGTTGCCGGCAGGACTGGAATAAA